ATATACTAGATGGTGTATATATATAATATAATAACTAAAAAATGTAATCTAACCATGCTTAATGAAATATAAACATACCAAAATGTAAATCATCATGTTTAGAATCACTAACCAATTGTAGAAAGCAAAACTTGCATCTTGACCGCACGATGAAACCATTCGATTGCATAGCCTTACTTATCGGCCGATAATCCCGATAAAAAAACCTTACTTATCGGCCGATAAGTACCGATAACGCCGATAACTCCCCGATAACTTGCCAAAAACGATAACCGATTAAAAATCCAAGTTATCCTATCGGAGAGCTCCCAAATCCGATAACTCGGCCGATAATATCGGTTATCGGTCGATATTTAAAACAGTGGCTATCATCAGGTAAGGATTCGGGAGGAAGACACTTGGAAGATGGCGTTCAAGACCAAACAGGGCCTGTTTGAGTGGTTGGTGATGCCGTTTGGTTTATGCAATGCTCCGGCGACTTTTATGAGGCTCATGAATGATTTGTTGCGACATTTTATAGAGGATTTTATGATTGTGTACCTTGATGATATTTTGGTGTACAGCAGGACCTGGGAGGAGCATCTTGTTCATGTAAAAAAAGTGTTTAGAGTATTGCAGGATGGACATCTGAAGCTCAACGGGAAGAAGTACGAGTTTGGGAAGGACAAGTTGGTGTATCCCGGCTTTATCATGGGGAAGGGCCAGAGGAGGATAGATCCGGGTAAGGTGGCGGTGATCACGAAGTGGCCGACGCCGAAGACAGTGACTGAAGTGAGAAGCTTCATAGGGGCTTGCTAGTATTTGCGCAAGTTCATTCGATATTTTTTGACTTATGCGGCACCGTTACATGGCCTCACAAAGGCTAAGGTTCAATTCGAGTGGGGAAGGACGCATGAGGAGGCTTTTTAGTTGCTAAAGAGAAAGATCTCGGAGGCAACAGTATTGGCGTTGTCGAATTTGCAGCGGACTTTCGAGGTGGAGACCGACGCATCTAGTTATGCGATGGGCGCGGTGTTGATTCAGGATGGGAAGCCGGTGGAATATCATTCTGAGTTGTTTTCGGGTGCTATTGCGAACTACCCGACCTATGACAAGGAGTTCTATGCATTGTATCAAGCGATTAAGCATTGGAGAGTGTACTTGTTAGGGAAGGAGGTGGTTGTGCACTCGGATCACAAGCCGTTGGAGTTCTTACATGCCCAGATGAAGCTACAGCAGGCACGGTACATGAAGTGGATGTCGTATTTGATGGCTTTCAACATCATTATTAGGAACAAAAAGGGGGCGGCAAACAAGTTGGCCGATATGTTATCTCGTCCGCCGGTAAGGGTTTTATTGGTGGCGACGCGCATTCAGCCTTGGTTCATTTGGAGTATGTACAGTTGTACGCATCCAGTAGAGACTTCAGTAGTGTGTTTGAGCAGGTGAAGGCTGGTCAAAGGGGGAGTATGCACTTGGAGAAGATAGCTTGTTGTATCGTGGAACATCACTATGTATTCCGAAGGATGGTGATAGGTTGCAATGGATTCGGGAAGCACATACCTCGCGTGTGCAAGGGCATTTTGGAATTCAGTAGGCGCTTCTCAATCTACGGCGACATGTGTTTTTGGCTACGGATGCTTGATGATGTGACCAAGTATGTTGGAGGGTGTAAGTTATGCTGTATTTCGAAGCCTTCTAACAGAAAGAGGGGATTATACCTACCACTACCGGTTTCTTCTAGGCCGTGGGAGAGCATATCTATGGACTTTCTAGGAGGATTGCCGACTACCAAGCGGGGGCATGACTATTTATACGTTGTGGTGGACCGATTCAATAAGATGGTGTTTTTGATTCCTTGTAAGAAGACCGTGACGGGAGCGGGTGCAGCACAATTGTTCTTCGAGCATGTGTGGAAGTATTTTGGGTTGCCGAGTTCGATCATTTCGGATCGAGACAGCCGGTTTCTCGGGCATTTTTGGGATTCTTTGTGGAGTCTGATGAACACTAGATTAAAGAAGAGCACGACTTTTCATCCACAAACAGATGAGCAAACGGAGGTAGTCAACCAGACTATGGTGCATATGTTGCGGGGGTATAATTCCAGACATCCTAAGACTTGGGATGAGAGCTTACCATATTTACAGTTTGCTTTCAATCGGGCGATTCATGGATCTTCGGGAAAGTCACCGTTTGAGACTTGTTATGGATTCTTACCGCCGAGTCCGTTTGATCTCGTGTTTTCAAGTGAAGCTACGATGGACGGCAAGGAGGGGAATGAAAGACAACGCGCTCAGCGATTTCTGGAGAAGATTGCACAGATTCATGCCACGGTTGAAGCACAATTGAAGAAGTCACAAGCAAAATACAAGGCGAAGCATGATCAACATCGGGTTCCTTGTAACTTTGGCGTGGGCGATATGGTGTGGCTGAAATTGAGTAAGGAGAGGCTAAAAGGAGAATGCAAGAAGTTGAAGCCTATTCGTTATGGTCCGTTTCGGATTCTCGATCAGATTGGCGACAACGCTTTTAGGCTGGATTTGCCGCCTTACTTAGACATGTATTCGGTGATCAATGCCGAGTACTTGAAGTTGTTTGAGCCTCCATTAATGGATGATGAAGGTGATGACAAGGTGATCTTACCGCATGTTGATGACTTATGGTTTGATAGAGAGGAGCCGCTGAAGGAAGACTGCATTTTGGAGCGAAAGACGACCACGACAAGAAGGGGAATGAAGGAGTCGTTTCTTATTGGACGTCAAGGTCAAGTTTCTAGCAAGGCTAAGTGGTTCAGCAAGAAAGGAGGGGCTCACGAGTTTCCTCAGCTGAAGTTCTAACTTGAACGGGACTTCAAGTTCTTAAAGAGGGGACACATGATACGGGTGTATCTTCTCTTCGGAACTTAGCGATCTTCATGGGAGCTTGAGGATAGATGATTCTCATGATAGCATGAGAATAGAGGTGTCAAACAGTAAGATTTCAGCCTGTGAGTCGACTCATACATGTACATGAGTCGACTCATCAGGTTGAGTCGACTCATGACTGTCATGAGTCGACTCATCGCTGGTTGTGAAGATTTGTCCAGTTTCTGTCGAGTCGACTCATCACAGTCATGAGTCGACTCATCGCTGGTTGTGAAGATTTGTCCAGTTTCTGTCGAGTCGACTCATCACAGTCATGAGTCGACTCATTGAGGGTTTCCTGGTTCGTTTGGGATTCTGTTCATACGAATTCCTGTTGGTTTTGGGTCTGGTTATTTACCAAACTGCCATCCACGTTTGTACACCTATATAAGGGATTGTTTTAGGGTTTCTAAACAATCAGAGAGTTAAATCAAGAGAGATTAACTTGTAATTGAGATTTGGAGTGCTTGTTCTTCAATTCTAGAGTGAGATTGTGAGAGATTGTAAATTGCATACTCATAATCTAGAGAATGTATTTTTCTTCGTCCAAAATCTGAGTTATTCTTGTATTCTTATTAATTTCTCCTCAACACACCTTTGATAATTCCGCGATCAAAGGTGCTCGCACGGCAACTCGTATCAGTGTTTGACAGGCTAAGGAGGGATTTAAACCCCTCCTTAAGCCCTCATTTAACCCTTTGCCAAACAGGACTCTAAGTCTTTAAATATAAGGGATTGTTTTAGGGTTTCTAAACAATCAGAGAGTTAAATCAAGAGAGATTAACTTGTAATTGAGATTTGGAGTGCTTGTTCTTCAATTCTAGAGTGAGATTGTGAGAGATTGTAAATTGCATACTCATAATCTAGAGAATGTATTTTTCTTCGTCCAAAATCTGAGTTATTCTTGTATTCTTATTAATTTCTCCTCAACACACCTTTGATAATTCCGCGATCAAAGGTGCTCGCACGGCAACTCGTATCAGTGTTTGACAGGCTAAGGAGGGATTTAAACCCCTCCTTAAGCCCTCATTTAACCCTTTGCCAAACAGGACTCTAAGTCTTTAACTTTTTAAGTAAAATGAGGTAATTACTTAAGCCATAAAGTAGTTTATGTTGTAAAGAGCCACCCTGTTGCATGAAATTGGTGCCCTTTCTGCTGTTTGCTTTATTTGTCCACCGACACACAACATACTGTTCTTGTCCACCTTTAGCTATTCTAAAGAAAGGTAATTTCTTAAGCCATAAAGAGTTTATATAGTAATAAAGAGCCATCCTAGTACATAAAGTTTGTGCCTCTTCTGTTTGCATTAATTGTTTTAATCAACATTTTTGTTAGACATGAAATAAAGGTACAAGAGGATTATTGGCTGTAATACATCAGTCTATACTACTGTCAAGGAAATTGTCTATGCTACTTCTCTCTCTTTTATTCTTCAATTTAGGAGAGCAATATTCTTCATAGACTTTGGAGATGTCAGTCAAATGTTTATTATATTTTGGAAATGCAAAAAAAACTGTTTCAACAAGCCTTTTGATTGCTTCATCACCAATCTTTGAGTATGAATATATCTTTTCAATCTGAGGGAAAAAAAAACTGAAGCCAAGAGACTTTCTAAAATGTTTCATGTAGATCTGGTGCAGTTTGGTATGCTGGGGAGGTACATGAAGAGGAAAATTTGAAGCAAAAAGAAAAAAAAATTGTCGCTCGTATCGTGAACTGGTATCTTATACACTCAAATTTTTGAGAGAAAGTATATCACCCGATTTATTCCTTTAGGTTAATATTTACTTTATGCTTTCTTCTTTAGCATGACAAAAAGATTCATGGGCTGGTTACTGCAAATTTCAAATTCAGAAATTTATTATTCAGTAAGAAACAAACTCATGTCGTGGGCATTTGAGAGTGATCAACAGTTTGATGATATAGAATTTTGGACTGTACAAGTCGCTTTGAGTTTGTTTGTTCCTCAAAATTAATTGTGTGACGGGAAATGCATAACTGTTCTGCCTACACATTATATTTCTATTCTGAGCGAGCACTTATCTTTAGCTGTATAATCTTTAATTGAAGTTTATATAGGGTTTTGTCTTACGATGTTCTGTTTTGTGGTATTGTAGGCACGTCGATTATATGGATGTTGTTACAATGGAATTCACATGTAGCAAACCTTACCTCGAAACTGAAATGATCAAT